CTAAAATAAAATATTTTTTAATAACATTTTCGATCAAATATTTTGACCAAAATAGTCTAAAATAACAGATTTCCCAATAATATTTTCGGTCAAATTTTTTGACCGAAATCATCCAACATTTTCGATCAAGCTAAATTTTGTCCGAACTAGTATTTCCTTCAGAGGTTATTCGGATTAACAATTTGGTCAAATAATTTAACCGAATTATTTCTTATTCAGTCAAAATTGACACTTATTCGATCAAGATGCTTGACCAAATAAGACCCTAATTCTAGTAGTGGTAATCCTTCTCAAATATCTGACCCATTAATCTTTTTTCTTTTAAGTAATGAATATGCTTTGCAATTACAGACCCAGCAAGAAACAAAGGCTCAAATAAAGTAGAGGCCTGAATTCTTATCACTATTACTTAATGTATACACATTCAAAATAATTCAATAAAAAAATAAATAAAATTATAAATAATGGACTTAAGCATTATCTTCTTCTTCATATTCTAATTACACCAATTGAATACTTTGACTAGGGAAATAAGGAGGTAATCAACAATAGAATAAGTTTCAGTTGATCAGAAAAATAGTTCTTCTTCTTTCTGCTGACGAGGGTTTCAGTCATCCACTATCCACTTTGTTTTGAATTGCAGGGAGATTCTCCCCAAGATTCCCAAGTTTATCTTCATCGTCTCGTTCTGAAGGAGGCCAATATATGTGACGATCGCATGGCAACAATGAGGCATGAGCTCCCTTTTGAATTTTGATCTTACTGTACGTTTTCGATTGCTGCCCGCGCGCCTGGGCTTCTGATTAAAGGTTTTGTGTTGTGGTTTGGTTTAAATTTTAATATATTTTTTTAAATTAATTAAATTAAATTAAATTAGTAAAATTTTTAAATTAATTTTATTTATTGTTATATGAAAATTAAACTAATTTAATTTAAATTAAATTGGTATGATTTGGTTAGAGTAATTAGTCTTTTATATTATTAAATATATGAGATAATATAAAAAATTTTAATATCAAATAAAAAATATAATTATAAAACACATTAACATTCATATCAGTAGAAATATAATTATAAATAAATTTTTATATTCTTTTACAATTGTAAATTTTGAAAATATTTGAAATTTTTTTTTGACTATATCATTAAAGATATTGTGAATAATAGAAGAGAAATCTAAATTTCGAGTACAGTATAAATAATTTTTAAAGTTAAAATTAATTTGTCTTTCTTAAACCACCAATAACAGAAACTCATCCTTCAAATTATGTTAAAAATGAATAAAATTTAAAATAAATATCATTAGAATTGATTAAAAGCATTAATAATCAAAATTTAAAACCCCTCAATCAACATTCAAAATAGTAGATATTAAGACTAGTTTTATTATGAAATTTTAAGATTTCTAAAATGATATATTTTTAAGATTTAGTTAGGAGAATTAAAATATTATTTTAATAACAAACTTAAAATTTAAAATTTTAAGAGTAGAGTCATAAATCAGTTTTAAAATGTAGAGTTATAAATGAATTAAAATTAAAAATTATAGTTAGAATGCATAATTTAAAAAATAAATAAAGAAATATGAGAATGCTTCGTTTTTAAATTTTAATTAAGTTAATAAAATTATTATTTTATGAAACTAAAAAAAATTAAAATACTATAAAAAAATATTATATTATTTAATTAATTTATTTTATAATTAAATTGTTCTAGTGATTTAAAGATAAAATCATTTATTAAAAAAGGATAAAATCATAAGGCTTGCTAGCTCCCGTGCTCTGCTTAAAGTTGGGGCAGAAGAGGTGGGTTCCTCCCTAGGGTTTGTTTCTGGTAGCGGAGCTTCTCCTTTTTTGTTTTCCTTTTACCTTTTCCTTCCTTCTCTCCACCTTCGTCGTCTGTCTTGCTTTAGAAACTTCAACCCAAAGGACCATAAGGTAGCAGTGTCTCTCGATCTAACCTTCTGATGGCGGCAACTTCATCATAAGGGAACTATTCTTCAATTTCAGATGGGATCTTGGCGGGGGCTGTTTTCAAAGACACTAGTGCACTCCACTCTTCAATCTGGTCCCTGGCCTATAGAAGAACAGGGACACTACTGGTGATTCCAGTTCTGGGCTACATAGGAAGTATACTATTCATGATGGCAAAAGGGATCTTTTTCCCTTCATAAGCTTCGCTAGCAAGGGTTTGCAGGATCGACACCGATGGGAACATGATTAGGAGTACTCGGCGACGATTGGAGTGCCTTGGGCTTGTTCAAAGGATTGGCAAAGAGGAAAAGGATTTTATTGATGAAGCAGTTTGTGATTTGCACGGGGCTAATAGTATTAAAGGTGGTAAAGGGACTCTAGTTCCCTTCAACAATTTAGGCAGCAAGGGATTGCAAAGGATTGGAAAAGATGGAGCTCATGTCTACAGTGATGGGGTTAATACCCCTTTTTTTGTTGGTTAATTTTCAAGCATAGATGGGGTGGCAACCTGCAGGTTGGGGACTGTTTGTTGCCAGAATTTCTGCTCTCTCGTGAAGTTGGTTAAATAGGTGAGGATGTCCAGTAGCTTCTGATGCTCATAGTGACTCTTTTTTTTACTTTAATAATAACTTTATTTAGTTTATATAGCGATTGCGAATGTAATATCTAGTTACAGATGACTCTCTTTACTTAATTATCTATATTCGTCATAAATATAGTTTAAATTTGTTACTAGTGCTGTAGGTTATGCTTCTGATTTTTCTCTCGAGGCTATCATGCTTTAGGTTATATGCCTTATGATGGAGATC